GCGTGATCTCTATTCAACGCATGCTGCGTGCGCTGCCAATGCGGCCCCATTCTTTTCACCGCGGGCCCGTTCACGCAAGCCGGCTGCGAGCGCCGATCCGCGGCGGTGGGCGCCCCCCAGAACCCATGATTTCTACGTGTTCTGATGTCATCAACCCGCTACGAACGAAGCGGTCACATGCGCGACACCTCCGTCGGATATCGACGGTAACCTCGCGCGCATATGGAAGTTCAAATTCCCTCGTCAGTGCGGCGAATTTCCTGGCGGGCGATCCAACCATCTAACCGTCTCCAGGCCATGCCCAGAAGCAACTTCAAGGCGGCGCAGAGCCCGGCCCGCCCCGCGCCCCCCCCCCCCCCCGCCCTTCCCCCGCCCCGCAAGCGATGCCAGCTGGGAGCGGCCGAAGCCCGCGGCGAGGGGCCGCCCTTGGCATAGCCTACGGTTGGACCATCAGAGTCGGAGGCGGAGGCCCCCGACGAAGAGGCGCGACGCTCGGGGGGGGGCCAACCCTGCCCCCAGATCGCGCGCGCCCGATCAGCGGATTCGAAGCCGGCGGGCGCGGAGAACATGGACGCAGTCTTGCGGCGATCGAGCATCTGGGCCGTGACTGGCCCAGACGCGTCGCCCAATGATGCCTGAAAGACCAAGTTTGTTCGCCGTTGCGATGAGTGCGCTCAGCACGTGAGCGCTCGTCTCGCCCGCGACACTTGCACCGATCGAAGATGACGCCATAGTCGCCAGCGCGGCGCCTTCTGTCGTGTAGACGGTCTTCACCTGGTTCGTCTCCGATCTGCCTGCGTACCCAAGGCTCGTTTCCGAGCTAACCGCGCCCTTTGACACCGCCTTGTAGTCGCTGCGCGGAATCAGGAGGTGACCCGATGCTGATTTCTCCATCGTCAGCGATGCGTCCTACGGTCCTCACGCCCCCGAATAAGGCCTCACTCCACCTGACAGCGAAGCATCTGGCGATTCAACGGATGTAGTTTGAGCGTAGCCGTCTGTCTGGGTGCCTACCCCCAGGATCCAGAACAACACTCCCCAAGGAAGTTTGGAATATCGGCATGCCGAATCAAGCCGTCTGTGCATCGCAGCACGCAATTTCGAACCTGCCAAGGGTCTCGCCGACACGCTCGTTATGAGGCACGCGGAAGCCGATGAGTCGAACACCCGACATATAATGACGCTCGCCCCCCAACATTCTCGAACAAGATACGCAACATGGACACGATATGCGCGACAAGAATTGTGAAACGGTCCCATGTGCTTATGCCGAAGTTCCTGATGCCCGGAGGCATGCGCGTTGCGATCCTTCAAGAAAAACCCTTAGGTTTCGCCGGGGGGTCATGCGGACACCTGCGGGCACCGTCCATGCGCAACGGGGCATTCCTGGCTGGACCCCAACCTGAGGGAAATGTTATTGTCGTGACCCCCACCACGGCGCATGTAACCGATATCGGGCCCACTCCATAGCCAGATGATACTATTTATAACCAACTCACCAAGTCCCAATTGTAAGTCGGATTGGTTCTTCGCATTCCTGTGCGCGTTATCCACTTTTGTGGGGGCGGTCAGGCGTCGCGGCTGGAAGATTCGCGCGCTTCCGCGCGGTGTGCTTTCATGCCTGGGTCGTTGGGATTGCCCCGACGTACTACACCAGTGCGATAGTTTGGTGAATCCCTTAGGCCGGTCGTTCCCAAGACCATCTCGACTCGATCCACGGAGTCACGGAGGGAATGTGGGCTCACCGTAGGGAGTGACAGCGGTTACACGGATCGTGATACAGAACAATAAAAGTAGACCAAGTGTGGGGGCCAACCGCACGAGGGTGGTCAGCTCCGCTGCCATGCAGGAAACAACGTGGGAACGTCCCGTAGCACATCGCTGCCGTAGACTGGAGGTATGTGGAGACGGGCGACGTGGTATCATGTGGAAAATATGATGAAATATCTTAAACGCGGATCGGCAGCACGGTTGTGCGGCGTCAAATAGGGCGCGCGCACCTTGGGCCAATGGTAGCAGAGGGGCGCAAGATGTGCCCCCACCAGACGCCTCCCTTCAAAGTCAAGAAGGGCGCAAGGCGACCCCAAGAGGTGACTCCTCGGGCTTGGGGGACAACGTGAAGCGGCCCGCCCCCTCCTTTGACCAACAATATAAAGGCACTGGAACTACCATGTGTCGTCGAATGTATTTGGCCTCTCAGGTGCGTTCCTGGGAAACTGTCGGACTCAGATGGCCATAAGAATACTCTGGATGGCAAGATGGCGCTTTTGGAGTGGCTCAAAACATCCCCACATGGTTCAAGATGGTCTGCGACATGCCGTCAAGAGGCCCCTGGTCGCCCCAAGACGGTTCCGAGCGGCCACAAGGCCTCCTGAGGAGCCCCTCGGGATGCCAACATCCTTCCACAGCCTGTGGGGAACTAGAGTTGTGAATTATTGCCGTTCGCGCCGGATGGGCCCTGGATGCCTCAAGATGGCTCCAACATGGCCCAAAAAAGCTCCAAGAGGGGCCCATGAACACCCCGAGACTGCCCCAAGAGCGCCCCAAGGGGGGCCAAGCGCCGAATGTCCGGGCCCAAGAGGGGCGACGCTTATCGGTGCCGCCCCATCGGTTGACCGATGTCCTCGAAGATAGCTCCCAGTGCCCACAGGAGGTGCCCGGCAGCTTCCAAAATGAACCCAGAAGGCACCAGCATGGCCCCTGTTCCATCCCCTGTCTGAAGAGGCCTCCCGCAGGCTAACGCTTGTCGTCGCCATCGCCGCCGTCGACGCCGGCTGTTCCTCCCCAATCCCCTTCTTCCACCTACGTACTCACTATCCGAATTCTCCTCCTTCTCCTCCTCCTCCTCCTCCTGCTCCTTCTCATAGTCCTTCTCCCTCTCCAACGCCTCCTGCTGCTCGTCTTCTTCCGGTTCCTCGAGCTCCCCCGCATCCTGCTCCTCCTCCTCCGCCTCCTCCTCCTCGACATCCTCCTCGGCATCCTCCTCCTCCTCCTCCTCCTCCTCCTCCTCCTCCTCCTCCTCATCATCATCATCATCATCATCATCATCATCATCATCATCATCATCATCATCATCATTATCATCATCATCATCATCATCATCAGCATTCTCATCACCAGCAGCAGCATCAGCAGCATCATCAGCATCATCAGCATCAGCATCAGCATCAGCATCATCATCATCATCATCATCATCATCATCATCATCATCATCATCGTCGTCATCATCATTATCATCATCATCATCATCATCATCATCATCATCAGCAGCATCATCATCATCATCATCATCTGCAGCATCATCCATCAACATCATAATCCTCGTCCTCGTCCTCACCCTCCTCATCATCATCATCATCAGCATCATCATCATCAGCATCAGCATCAGCATCATCATCAGCAGCATCAGCATCATCATCATCATCCTCATCATCGTCAGCATCATCATCATCATCCTAATTATCGTCAGCATCATCAACATCATAATATTCGTGCTGCTCCTCTTCCCCCTCCTCCTCTTCCCCTACCCCTGCCTCCTCCCCCTCCGCTTCCTCATATTCCTCCGCCTCCTCCTCCTCCTCCTCCTCCTCCTCATCATCATCATCATCATCATCATCATCAGCATCAGCATCAGCATCAACATCACCTTCCTCGTCAACAATCCTGCTCATAATATCTCTCCTCCCCCTTTACTCCGTCTCCTCCTCCGCCTCATTCCTTCTCCACCCTCCCCTCGTCCACTCACCGTGCACCAGACGTTGATAGGAAGCGTGTCCAGTCAAATCCCACCAGCCCTCTGGACGCTGGTGGCCTAGCATGTTTCCTTTTGCATCTTCCCTCGTCCCTTCTCGGAACGGAGCACCCCTCCCCCAGCCCCCTCCCCCTGGTTCTGGGCGTGGCGCCCCGCGAGGCCTTGGAGCGTCCAAGATGGCCCAAGAGGGCTCCAAGCGGGCCCCAGAGAGCCCAAGATGGCCTCCAAGATTGCCCAAGATACACACAGAGATTGCTCAAAATGGCTTCCAACATGCTCCAAGACCACTCCGAGACGGGTCCAAGTGGTCTCGGAGCCCCCTCCAGACGCCTTCGAGAGGCGAAAACCCATCCAAATCAAGCGGAAATACATGTTGGTTTCTCGTGTTGTCGATTGAAATCTTTAAAAGCCTCCAGACAGATCTAAGAAGGCACAAGAGGGCTCCAAGATGGCCTCACGAGCGCTCCAAGGGCGTCTCAAGAAGGCCCAAAGAAGCTTTTCCCTTATTTTACCGATACCCTCCTAGATGGCCCCAAGAAGGCTCCCAAGGCCCCCAAGGAGATCCAAGACGGCCCCGCGAGAGCCCCAAGAAGGCCCCAAAGGCTTGAAAAATGAGACCGGCAAAGCCCCAATACCCCAAGGGAGCTGCCAAAAGGCTCCTGTGTTGACAGATCCGCGAAAAGAACTGACGGTTGACTCCTGGGCCTGCTCAGGCTGATCCCGATAGTCGGCTTCACGGATGCCCCATCCCATCGTGGTTCCACTGTGTGCTCCCGCACTCCCCGGATCAAAATGCAACTCGCCTGGGCATCGTTGCTGGATGGGCTGGTGGGGATACGCTTGTTTGATCGCAAGCGCACCGGGAGACGCCGGACGCCGTCCAAGAGTCGTAGCCAGCGGGCTACGAACTAAATTGCGCAACTGGAGGGGGGCTGCTGGTGGGGATACGTTTTGTCAGCAGCCGAAGGCGAGCGCGCCAACGGCGAGTGAGGTCCGAGCGGGCCGCACGTGGGCCTAACTACCTAGCAAGAGGCCGAAGCCTCAGCGCTGGAGCAAACCTGGTGGGGATACTTTTTTGGTTAGCGGCTCCAAGGTGACCGCCAGGGAGCGGGAGCGACGTTCGGGGCTGGTGGGGATACGCGAAGCGTCAAACATTCGTTTTCCGTTGCGTGCCTTCCTCCCCCGTCCTCCTCCTCCTCCTCCTCCTCCTCCTCCTCATCCGCCTCCTCCTGAATCCGGCACCGTGCTCCTTGGCAGATATTTCCTCGGGGGCGGCAGGGGTGGAAGAATAGGAACGAATCTTTCGCTGGGGCCGGCGCAGGCGAGTGATGGCCAAAGTAAGTAGGCCCGCAAGTAAGCCCGCTGTCAAGCCCTGCAGCCGAACGCTTCTGCAAGCTACTGGAGCTTGAGCGCGGCGATCATGGCGGACACCACCAAGGCCACGTCCATCCCCTTTGCGATGTGCAGCCTGCCATGCTCTCCCAGATGACACTTCAGCGTGGCCACCAAGGACCCATCCTTGTTCCTGAGGTCGATACCGTGGTTGGCGTGCACGAGCATCGAGACCAAGACGCCGCCTGGCTGCCCGGTTGGTGTGCACCACCGCACGCACAAATTGCTACTACCGTTTGTCCGCTCCACGACCGCCGTAGGCAGTGGATCCGCAGGGAGGTCGCGATTGTTCATTCGGACCAGCGCAACGTGCCGATCTTGCTGGGGTGGCTGCTCTCCCTTCGGGGAGACCGCCTCGTCGGTCATCATGTAGACGACGCTGCTCCCCATCGACGTCTCCAGCAGGATCCCACAATGCCCCCTCGTCTCGCTCGTCGTGCACTTCAGCACCGCCTCGTGCGGGGCCTGCTGGAAGCCGTCCCGTCGGACCTCGAGGACCTCTTCCTGCTGGTATGGCAGTGCCTTCCCCGTTAGAATGAAAGTCGAGCCGCTGGTGTCCAGCACAGTCAGCTCCCGGCAGAACGCCTGAGTGTTCCCGTCGCCCAGGTACTTCTGCCGCCTGGGCCGGAGCTGGGCGCTGGGCGCCGGTGTGAGCGCCGCTGGTGCTGCTGCCGACGCTGATTGGCCTCTCGGGTAGCCTGGCGAAGGCGCTGCAATACCCAATGGTTCGTCGGAAGTTGAGTTTGAGCTGGATCCACATCCCCAACAGATGGTCAAGACCACGACAAAGACACCGATCGCCAACACGACGACCGTTGAGGTCGACACGGAAGGAATGCGCTCTGCCACCAATGCCATGGGCAGCGTCGCATGAAACGGCATCTGCGCATGCGGGGAGGACGCGTTTTGGTAGCTGCCACCGAGAGACTCCACGAGCGCGCCAGCGCCAGACGGGAAGGCCTGGGAGGTATGCTGGAACGTGCCCCCCTGGGAATTTTGAAAGAGGTGCCCTCGTTGGATCAATGACACACTGCCAGAGGCGCTGATGATCGCGTCCCCGTCGTCCATGGCGGTATAGCCTGTCGCATCAGCCGTGAGATCGATTGCCGCCACCATCGCCGAGAGGCGTCGAAGTCCTGTGCTCAACCGCGTGATTGGTCCACCATGCTCCTGGCCATACAACTGGTTCTCCATCATGGTGCTCACAAGGGCTTGCCCCGATGATGGTGAAAAGTGCCCATGGTCAGCTCGCGCACCAGCGAACCCGGCGCACAGCAAACACAAGAACATGAACGCCTGTCGGTTCTACGGCCGCAGCAGCCGTCGCGAGTCAGTAAATCATGGCGGCCGGACGCAACCAAGCATAAACCGTAAGCTTGAGCCAGAATGGCTACGGACCGTACTACTTAGCACAATGAGTCGCGGTAGAATGCCAAGAGCTGTCCGGTTGGGTTTCTGTCTTACTTCAAAAGGGGCCCCCACTACCCGCAGAGCGTCCCGCTATCGCCCCCCCACCCATCCCAGGGCCACGATCTCTCGTGAAAAACATCCAAGCTGCCTCGAAGGCGGCCAAAGATGGCCTCAGGCGGCCCAGGGTGGCCTCACGATGACCCAAGATGCCTCCAAGAGGGCCACAAGATGACCCTGAACAGGTCCGAAGAAGCTGAAATTATTGATTTCCCTTTGGTGTTTGACGAATGTGTGAATTCGCGCCGTCTCGGGCTTTCGTCAGACGGCCCTAGAAGCCTCAAAGGTGGCCCAATAGGACCCCCCCGATGGCCCAAGGGCCTTCCAAGACGGCCCAATCATGTTTCTGGGGAAACCCAAGCCAGCCTTAGAAGGGGCCCTTCGGCGGCCCAAGACGGCGCCAAGATGATCGCACAACGGCCCCCCAAGCACCCACCATACCGCCAAGACGGCCCCAAGACGGCCCAAATGGACTCCCAAGACTGCCCCACAAGAGGCCAAAGTCCCAAGACAGCCCCAAGACGGCCCAAATGAGTTCCATGAGAGCCTTACGACATGAAGACCCAAAGTGTCACGTGTGACGGCTTTCCCCTTCTTCCTGCTCCGCCTCCGTCTCCTCGTCATCATCATCATCATCATCATCATCATCATCATCATCATCATCATCATCATCATCATCATCATCACCCTCATCACGATAACCCCAAGCCTGGGGACAAGAGGTGTCACACGTGGCGGCCTCCCGCGCCAACTTGAACAATCGCCACCCAGAATGACGAACTGACACGGTGGCGGGACTTGCCGCAGGCAGCTGAATGTAATCTTCCTTCTCCTCCGCATCCACTTCCTCCTCATAGTCCTAGTCCCGTTTCCTCATACTGATCACCCCCCACTTCGTCCTCCTCCTTCCGCTGCTTCCTCCGCCTCCTCCTCCTCCTCCGCATCCGCCCACCGACGGTTCACTGTTAGTGCAATGGGAACGTGCTCTGTCCAATCTTACTCGCCGTCCTTGCCCTCCGCCTGCACACGTGCGAGTGCGGGCGCAGGTGGTATACGGCGCCTGGGATTCCACCCCCTTCTTCCTCTTCGGGGAGGGGGGCCCTCCCCCTGCCCCCCCCCCGCCCTGGGTGTGGACAGAAGTATGCGCACGGCGCTGCAGCGCCTAAGATGGCCCTAGATGGCCCCAGACAGCCCGAATGGCATTATGACCTCCAGCATGGCGCAAGATAGCCCAAGATGGCTCAACGTGGCGTCCGCGATGCATCCAACAGGCCCCTAAGACCGCCCCAAGACTGCTCCGACCCAAAGATGCCCCACCCCTTCCACCAATCAAAGGACAACCAATGAGGCCTGCCTTCTTGCCTTTTAGCTTCCGTGGCTCCCGAAGGGCCCAAGAGAGCTCAAAAAGACGCCCATACAAGCTCCAAGACTGCCCCGAGAGCGCCCTCCTCCTCCTCCTCCTCCTCCTCCTCCTCCTCCTCCTCCTCCTCCTCCTCATTCAGCAGGACGACAGCATGCATGGTTCGCTCCTGCGCACGCTGATCCAAAACTTTGGTTCGACGGCTGACCCCCTCTTTATTCAAGTGTGCCTTACTACACCTCCTTGATCAAGGCAACTCGCCACGGCATGGTTTCTGCATGGGCTGGTGGGCATACGCGATTCGTCAAGAATTCCCTCCTGCTCCTCCTCGTCTTTCCTCGTCCTCATGTGTCAGTTCCGTTGCAAGGCTTGGATCCTGTGATGGCATGTTGCTCCTGCCTGCTAAAAATAAACATGACTGGGGCCGACTCGTCAAGAACCATCGCCGGCGCTATGAAGGATGAAGCAAGAGTATCGATATTATTCGCCGGCCCAACGGGCCAGAGGCGTGCTAAGATCTCCAGTAACTGCTAAATAATACTTAATACTTCTACTTCGCGCGCGCGGGGCGGCCCCTGGGGGTCCCCGGACGAAAAGTACCCCGGGCGATCCCCGGCAGGGTCGGGTCAGAGATGGTTTTCCTCCTGGGCGCCGCCCCCGTGGCCCTCCAGAGAGCCCCAAGAAGGGCCACGAGGCCGCCAAGAGCCCTCCAAGATGGTTCAAGAGTGCTCCGAGATGCCACACGATCGTTCCAAGACGCCCAAGATGGCCCCCAGACGCCCCAAGAGGCCTCCAAGAGCACTCCCCAGAGGGCCCCAAGAGGCAAAAATCATTACTTTTCCTTAGGTTTGGGGCAGATTTTGGCGTGTCCATCTTTTCGGCTTCCCGACGCCCCAAGACGGCCCAAGAGGCCCCCAAGATCGCCCCAAGAGGGCCCAAGAAGCTCCCAAGAAGGCCCCAAGATGGCCCAAGAGGGCTCCAAGACGGCCCCAGAGGCATCCAAGACGGCCCAAGAGGGGCCCAAGAGGGCCCCAAGCGATGCCCCAAAGGGGGAACACAAAACAAAACTTCGAGCCCTCGGCCTTAAGAAGCCCCCAGGAGGCCTCAATAGGCCCCTGAGAGGCCCCAAAAGCCCCCAAGAGGCCCTCAGGAGGCCCCCAAGCGACGCTGAAGAGGCCCCCCAGCGGCCCCAAGAGGCTCAGTCATGCGAAATGGGCCGGCGGAATGAGCGAAGCGATTCAATTAACTCATATGACCCATGGCCGATTAATCCTGGAATCGCCCATGGTGGACACGCCTTACATCACCCATGCTGCTGTACACGGACCTTCTCGACTGAGGCCATCAGTGTGGATGAAGAGATGCCTGACATTCGCCTCGACGTTGGCCGAGCAAATTTCGAACCACAACCGTCGTTCGTACACATTGCAGCTTGCCAGGTAGATGGGCATCACATTCCAATCCCGCTTGCGCCACTCGACGGCGTCGCTGGTATCCACGAGGGGCTTCCACACATCCTCCTCCTCCTCCTCCTCCTCCTCCTCCTCCTCCTCCTCCTCCTCCTCCTCCTCCTCCTCTCCCTCCTGTCGCTGTCGCTGTCGGCATGGTGTCACAAGTGATGCTGCCACCCCATCCTACTCCTTCTCCTCCTTCTCCTCCTCCTCCCCTCCTCCTCCTCCTCCTCCTGCTCCTCCTGCTCCTCCTCCTCCTCCTCCTCCTCCTCCTCCTCCTCCTCCTCTTCCTCGTCCTGCTCATTTCTTTCTTGGGCAAGCCGTGGGAATGGAAGCTCGCAGCGTCAGCCGGCCGAACGCGATCGGCCCGGCCCCCCGCCCCTGCGTGAAACAGAGGCGCAGCGAGCAGCAGCAAGGACAAAGTGACGTGGTCCGCGGCAGCGTCCACCAGTGGAGCAAGATGCAATCGAGAGTGCGCATGATGGGCAGAAGGACAGGACGGAGAGATTTTGGGTGAGCAACGGGAGACTCCTCCTCCTCCGACTCCTCCACCTCTTCTTCTTCTTCCTCCTCCTCCTCCTCCTCCTCCTCCTCCTCCTCCTCTTCCTCTCTCCTACCTCCTCTCTCCTCCCTCCTCTCTCCTCTCTATCCTCCTCCATTCCCTTTCCTTATAAATAACTGCTCCCTGTCGCACCCCGAGGCCTGTCCAAAGGAAGGGCGGGCCGGGCGTTTCGCCTGAGACTTCCTCACCATGTATTATGATCTTGAAGCTTTCACATTGGCAACCGTTTCATAGATGTAGGGGTGGTTTTCAGAATGTGGCTCTCGCCTAAGCGCCGCGCACATTCGTTCGAAAAAATGGCAAGAGCTTCACGGATTGAGGGCGGTTCCTTGTCAACATGTGGTTCTCGCCTAAGCGCCGCGCACATCCCTTGTGAACAATTGCACGAATTCCACGGACTACCATGGTTAATGTACCAGAAACGGTATTGTGGAGAGGTTCTGGATTATGAGGGCGCAACAATTGCGTTGGTTCGCGGTCTTGCAAAATCCCAGGAATGGCGTTCTGGCACGATTCAGGATTGTCAGGACGCAACAGGCAGGTTGCTCCGTGGCGTTGGAGTTCCGAGAACAATGTCTTGGCATGCTTCAGGGTCTTCAAGCGGATGTCTTCCAACGAGGCAGTTCCCTCAGTGGATATGAATCCCTGTAGGGGCCTATGAAAAGGGAGCCTTGGAGGGAGGGTTTCTTCCAACATCGTTGATGACTCTTGGGCTTACCAATGGTCCTCCTCCTCTTCCTCCTCCTCTTCCTGCTCCTCATCCTCCGCCTCCTCCTCTTCCTTCTCCTCCTGCTTCTCCCTCCTCTCTCCTCTCTGCTCTCTCCTATCCTCCTATCCTCCTCCTATTTCTCCTCCTCCTTCCCCTCCCCGTCCTTCTCCTCCTCCTCCTCCTCCTCCTCCTCCATCGCCTCCTCCTCCTCCTCCTCCCTCCACCGCCCGACCCATGTCCCGAGCTTGTGGCAAGGTAATCAGCTCATCGTTGTTGTTGTTGTCGTCGTCGTCGTCGTCGTCGTCGTCGTCGTCCTTCTGGGTCGGCGGAACCAGCCGTAAGGCCTTCACAACAACTTCGTGCTCTCGCGCCGCCCCCCCGGGAAGACAAAAAAGAGAAATCGGAGCCGAACCGCGAATCGCCAGTACAGTAACTTCGCGCCCTCGAGGGCGTCCTTGCTGTATCAAATCGAGATCCTGCGGTCGGCGCCTCGGCGGCACGCGCCGATTCTTCGGCCCAGCCTGGGGCTCCCCGGAGTGGCCTGCAGCCCTCTGCAGAGGGCCCCGCCCTCGCCACCGCGCGGCACATCGCTGACGTCGGGCATCGATGCCCGCGCCATGCGCGAAGCCCTACAGCCAACCCGTATAACAAGGACGCGCGATCAGGTCGACTACACGCAAGAGTGACCCTGGGTAAGAGTGACCTTTCGCGGCTTTTCGGGGGCCGCAAGGGGATCAAACACAAGCGCGCAAGACGCTACCGCCGCATCGCGCTCGGCGATCTGGGGAGACCCCAATGGGCCCGCTCCGACGTTCACTCCGGCGACTCTTACGTGCAGTCGATAAAGATGCAAGGGCCTTGGAAGGCCATTTTGAAGCTATTCGAACGGGGCGCGGCCAGCCAAAATGGCCAAGGACGGGCCGAAGGGGCAAGGATGCAGTAGTACCTTTGGGAAGGATGCCCATCCTTCTTCTGCGGGATGACTGTAAGCGCGTCCGCGAGCGTTTTTGCGCACTGGAATCTTGTTTGCGGCACGCCATTGGTGTTTGTAGCGCGCACCGGCGCGACCTGTGCTACTCGTGCGCGCACTGAATTCGATCTCAGACCCGCTCTCCGTCTCCCCTCTCCGCCGCCTCACCATTTGCTTTGTTGTTGTTTTTCTCTGTGCCTCTGGGGCGCTCGCGCCAGCGCTCCGGGCGCGGACGGCGACGCCGAGGCATTCTGCGCTAGCCTGGCAGCAGAAGAGAGAGAGAGGGAGGGAGGGAACCATTTGTTCGACAACCCCCTCCCCCGAGGAGGCAGAAGGGACAGAGACGCTCCTTAGAGCCGACGCTCCCAGAAAACTTGGAGCGGGCGGTCTCTGGCCGTTTCGGGCCTCCGGGGGCCCTCGCCAGGCGCCGGGGCCGTGAAAAATCTATTCAGGAAAGGGTCCAAAGCTCTGGGGCCCACACATCGAGGAACTATTGGAGCAGCCGGATGTCTGGGGCCAGGGAGGGAAGCATCGAGCTTCAAGGCTTCTGGATGCTCCTCACCCTCTTTCAATCTCTGGATGCCTTCGGAGACCTCCATGTGCATCCAGAGGCCTCCGGGGACCTCCTTCGAGGCCACAGGAACTTCCCACCGCAACTGCTTCATAAGAGCTGAGCTCTCCAAGGACATCTGCATGCAGGGGCAATGGATGTTGGGCCACGGGGGGCCAGATGGAAAGTGGTGGCCTTGGACCTCCTCCTACTCCTCTGGATGGGTGAAGTGAGGAAATTTGCGTCAACGTTTCGTGCAAGAAGCATCTCGCGCCCCTCAACTCTAGAAGTTGTTAGGATGGGGGCAAAAAACAGTTCATGGGCCTGGGACTATGTTGTGCCAACATGTTCGAGTGGACCAGTTCAACGAGCATGAGGAGGAATCGAGCATGCGTATCGATGTGGCTAGCGTCAGTTCCTTCAGCTGCTTTCCATGCAAAATGATCAACACGAACGTCTACTTCTAGGGCTGTTGACCTCTGAATCGAAGCTGTCATGGTCACGTAGGCGCACATTGCGTAACATAATCTGCCATTGGCATCGCGAAGAAGTGAGGTCAATACATTTTCTGGACAGTCCCATGCTCGCAAATGCAATCGCATGTCCTGAACACCGTGGAGCCTCCTGAGGCCAGTGCTGTGTGCCTCGTTCTTGCAGCTGCATTGATTTCACGATGAAAAGTCAACAGCTAGCAAAGGTCAGATGTGAAGGGGAATCCAACAGGTGCCGATACCGCTGCTCCTGGGACCTCTCTTGGGGGTGCGTTCTGACCAGGATTTCGAAGGGAATCCAGCGGTGCCAACGAGAGCCTCCCAGGAGGCCCCAAAAAGGGAACACGAGGCAAGGGTAGCGGTGTCGGTACCGTATCCTCCTCTGGTGTTAGTAGGGGAGGAGGAGGAGGAGGAGGAGGAGGAGGAGGAGGAGGAGGAGGAGGAGAAGCAGGAAGAGGAGGAGGAGGAGGAGGAGGAGGGGAGGAGAAGGAGGAGGAGGTGGACCAGTGTAAACCCTAGAGGCATCAAAGATGCTGGGATAAACCCGCCCCCAAGCTCCCCTTCATAGGCCCCTACAACGGTTCATTTCCACTGAAGGAACTGTCTCGTTGGATGACAACTATTTGAAGACCCTGAAACATGCCACACCATTGTTCTCGGGATTCCAACGCCACGGATCAACCTGACTGTTGCGTCTTGACGATCCTGAATCGTGCCAGAACGCCATTCCTGGGACTTTACAACACAGCGAAGCAACGTAACTGTTGCGCCCACATAATTCTGAGTCCTTCCAAAACACCAGTTCTGATACGTTGATGATGGAAGTCTGTGAAAAGCTTATAACTTGTTAAAAACGAATGTGCGCGGCGCTAAAACGATAATCACATGTTGAAAAAGAACAACCCTCAATCCGTAAACCTCTTGCAATGTAAAAAACGACAAATGTGCGCGGCACGAAAACGATAAATACATTTTGCAAACCAACCGCCCTCAATCCGTGAAGCTCTTGCATTTTCCCCCAACAAAAAAAACAAATGTGCGCTGAGGCGAGAGCCACATTTTCAAAACGACCCGCCCTCAATCCGCGAAACTCTTGCAAATGTTTAAAACGAATGTGCGCGGCGCTAAAGCGAGAACCACATGTTCAAAACGACCCGCCCTCAATCCGCGAATCTGCTAACAGTCTTTAAGCTTCAGAATCATAAATGGCGAGGAAGTCTCAGGCGAAACGCCCGGCCCGCCCTAAAAACTGGCTCGGGGTGCGACAGGGAGAATTTAGGTATAAGGCAAAGGAATGGAGGAGGAGGAGGAGGAGGAGGAGGAGGAGGAGGAGGAGGCAGAGAGCAGACATCACCGAGCTGTAGGAGGAGGGGGAAGCAGGGAGCAGGCATATTGAGCTGGCCCGAATTGTGGAGACGGGCGTGCGGCGCCGAAGCGCTGAGAGTAAGCCCCGCGGAGGAGGAAGACCAACGCGCGGCCTCGGAACAAAACACGAACTCGCATAATTACCGCGACTCGGGCGCTTGATCGGGTGTTGCTAGAGGTGCCCCTGGCCGAAGGTGCCCCCAGGATCTCCAGGGAGACCCCCACGGCCTCCAGAGCACCCCCCACGAGGCCTAAAGGCCCCAGGGGCTTCAAAATGGAGCGGATGGGGTGTGGTTACCTTAGGCCAGGGACACTTTTAGCAACCCCCGACTAGAATGGAGTGGCTTCCAGGGACTGCTCTGTCAATGGGGACTGGGGCACCACACTCCACAGGACTCTTCGTTGAGGCCTTGGGGCGCCTTCCCGAACACAACAGGCTCCACGAGCCACGCGAAACCTTAGGACACGACTCTCGTGGCCGTGGGCATCTCGTATAGAGAGACCCCTGCGCGCACACTCTGCGCACCTACCGCATGAGCAGACGGCAGAGGAGGCCCTCGGGAGGACGCCGGGTGCCCCCCAAACCTCCCGAGGGCCCCGTGGGGACCCCGAACGGCCCACGAACCCCTCCAGAGGCCCAGACACGGACCGAGTGCGCCAACAACTCGAGCCTCGACGCTCGAGGATTGGACCGAGGAGGGCCTTGCGGCCTCGCCCGGCGCCCCGCTCCCTACGTTCGTTTGTATGGAAGCCGGTCTAGTCTAGTGGAGATGTTGGCGGCCCAGCGGCAAATCGCAGCAAATTGCGGCAGGCAGATAGCGGCACACGCCTCTCTCTTCGCCGCCAATGGCAGCTGCACGCCCCCCCAAAATAAAGCCGTCGATGAAGCTCAAGGCTTCCGTAAAAACCAAGCCTAAATTTGGACCAGAAGACGAACGACACCACCCCACCTACGGCCCCAAGGGGCTTAGCGTATGCCAGGATATCTGGCGTGTTTTTGTTGCAGGATCTACGCTACGGCGCCCGATGGGCCGCAGCGTAATATGGAGGGCCGTAGGGTGGTGTGGTGTCGTTTGTTTTTTCTCGAAGCTTCCCCTCCCAGGCAGCGCCCCCCCTCCGACAGGTTGACATCCACGCCCCGCTGGATCAGCGCCTCCACCTCGGCCGTCTTGCCGGCCTGCTCGCGGCCGACCGGCCGAGCTCGGGCACGGCCCCCTGCCTGCAACGGCCTGCGCTCCACCGGGCAGCCGCCACTCAGACTGCTGGGCTGGCACGGCGGCGGAATTTGCCGAAGGCAGCCGGGAACCAAGTGTGGTGCAATGAACGCGTAGTGCAGCCTATGACCTCTACGTGAATTACATTGTGCAAGGTGGTATGTGCCGGAAGCTACGTGGTGCAAGCTATGCGGCGCAATCTTGGTGGTGTAAGCAGGGTCGTGCAGCAGAATGACGTTACGGAATGGAAGCGCCACGAGACACCCACGAGGCGCCCACGTCCGCCCACTACTTACAGAGGCAAGCCGAACTTGACATTTTGCTTTTGGGACTTTCCAGCGGTGGCACCGCCGGAGACGTCGTCCTGGCAGCTTGAACCGCTTATTTGGGCATGCGGCCGCCTTTAGCTTCGGTCAGATGAAATGGATCCATGTCTAGATTCAGCTGGCTTCGATCTGATTCGCCACGCAGGTGTCCTTATAGGCGACGCCAGGATCCTGAAGCACAGCGGAATCCCGGGAAGGGCGCGCGAAAGTTGGCAAGGGCAAGCAGTCTGCCATGAACATGCACGCATACAGGTACACCCACCAACATTATCTCTAAATACACGCATGCACATACATACACACATACATGCACATACATGCACACACATACACACATACATACATACATACATGCATACATACAGACAGACAGACAGACAGACAGACAGACAGACAGACAGACAGACAGACAGACAGACAGACAGACAGGCAGACTGACATACATACATGTCTGTATGTACACATACACATCTGCACATCTGCGCGTGTGTACGCACACGCTGCCCGTCCCCGCCCCCCCGCCCTCGGACCACCTGCCCGTCCCCTGCCTGTCCGCGAGGGGGTGAATTGCTGGCCTTCTGGGGAATCGGGGCGAGCCGCGGCCAAGCATTCTGACGGCTCGGGCGGGGGAGGGAGGGCGGCCCTGCGCGCGCGAGGCCGAGGCTCTGGGATACCGTTAATCAAGACTGACAGTGTAAAGCCCAGAGTCACAGAGGGTCTCCAAGTCGCTCGAATGGTACTGTTTGACACAGGTCGGGCTTCGAGGCTGGCCTCGATGCCGGCCCCGAGAGGCCTCGGGATCGCAGGCGCACATCGCCCGCGTGGTATTGTTTGACACGGATGAAGCATCGAGGTCCGCCTCGAAGCCCGCTTCGAAAGGTCTCGGGATCGCGGTACAACATCGATCGCATGGTACTCTTTGATACGAATCGGGTCTCGAGGCTGGCCTCGAGAAGCCTCGGGATCGCGGTCTCACATTGCCTGCGCGGCGTTGTTATACACGGATGATGCCTCGAGGCCCGCCTCGACAGGCCTCGGGATCGCGGAATTCTGTCGCCCGCGTGGCATGATTGGGTACGGATCGGGTCTCGAGGCCCGCCTGGAGGCCGGCCTCGAGAGACTGCTGGGTAACGCGTGCGATGAATGTGGGCGCGTCACGTCCTGACGCGTCTCGCGTGTGACAGCCAACTGCTAAAGCGAAACAGCCAACCTTTGTTGCCATCAACGGCTTCACCACATAAGCCACAAGAGAGGCGACTCCTTACAGCACCTGCGGGCCACGCTGTAAGCTGCATTCACCGAGCAGCAGGTGCAAAAAAGGGGCGCCCTCGCCTCGGCGAGAGCCGCTCTGGGGAGGGAGCTTCGCGAGTTCCTTTTCGGAGCGCCCGCTATGGCCCCCTCCCCTCGCGGATCGACCCTCGGCGCAGACGCCAACAACAGGGCCTCCGTCAGCTGCGCGAGACATGGCCTCTGTTGAAAACGTGGCTCACTGTCTGGCCTACGCGCCAGAGACAGTGCACGAGTGAGAACCAAATGCGGCCGAGCAGAGAGGCTAGACAATCTCTGCAGCAGCGAGCGCGAGAACGACGGGTGCGCCAAGGCGCGAGCGCGAAACTTGGCCCAGAGACCCGACGCCGAGTGGCCCCCCCACAGGCACTCTCGAACCAAAGGGGAACGAGTTACACCTGGACAAGGGCCCGATCCATACTGCACAGCAGCACTGATCCTTGAAGAGGACCGCCCACTACAAGCCTGAGGCGAGAGCGGCTGGGTGGCATCGGCTGCGCACGAAGCTACCCCGAGCCCTGACGGCCGCGGCAGGGCGCGCGGAAGGGGAGGGGATTCCCCCCCCCCCCCGCGCCCTGATTCGCACTCTGGGCAAAGAAAAAAAGGCGACGGCCCCCTGAGCAGCTGTCACCGCAAAGGAGAAGCCACCCCACGGCCGCGCGACAGGGGGGCGAGGACAGCACGAGGCAGTGAAAAAGACAACCAGCTGCGCCTGCACGACGAAACTCCACAGCACGAGTTCCAAGGCTGGCTGCGTAACCAGCACCGCCGAGCAGGACGCAGCAATACCCCAGATCGAGCCCGCCGCGCGAGCCCACCTCGCGCCGAACCGAAGGCGAATTACCAATACCTCGGGGGGCGACGGTCGGGGAGGACGAATGTCTCCCCCATGCCCTGACGCGCGCACTTGATACTGGAGGCGGCCCCCTGAGCAGCGGCCACCGCAGGGGGGGCATCACCCCGCGGCCGCGCGACAAGGGGCGCGGGCAACACGAGGCAGTGGAAAGGGCTGCCAGCAGCGCCTGCGCGACGGAACTCCCAAGCACGAGCTCCAGGGCTGGCAGCGTAGCCAGCGCCGCCGAGCTGGGCGCGGCAAAAAAAACGACCCTGTCACGCGAGCCCAAAACACGACAGACAAGAAAAGACAGTGCAACTCATAGCTGGGCGAACGGCCAGGGAGGGCGAGAGACCCCCCCCCCCCCCCCCCCCGCGCCCAGGCACGAACTCGGACGCGCCGACCTCTGCAGCAGCGGTCACCGCGAGGGGGGGGGGGGGTCACCCCACGGCCGTGCAACAGTGGGAACGAGGGCAACAATAAGTAATGAAAAGGACGGTTAGCAACGCCTGCTCGACGGAACTCCAAGGCCCGAGTTCCAGGGCTGGCAGCGTAACCAGCACCGTCGAACAGGACGCCACAACCAAAAAAATCGAACCCACCACGTGAGCCCTCTCGTGGTAAAGAAAATACTTTAAACACATGAAGCGCATCACCCATGGAATATGTAACAGCTCGGCGCTTCTCGCGGGGGCGTAAGCCGCGACAAAGGTAGTTCCATCCAGTGCCCGCATGTCTGGGTGGCCTGCCTTCGATGCGCTCGCCAAGGCCGTGGACCCTGCTGCCCGACGAGTGACATTTACATCTGGCACAACTGAATAATACTGAGCCAACGGAACAATGGAATGCAATGACTCGATGCCCTGAACTCAGAACAACATTGCCGTCACACTTGGGCCCATTGCTGCACCTGTCTGGGGGGGGGGGGGCTCTTGCGGGGGCCTCTTGCCGTTCAAAAGCGGAACGCAACTCCAAATGCCCGACCATCTCTTCCAGGCGCGTGGGATCTTGGCCTGGCTAGAGGCGGCAAGCGCAGGCGCATGCGGGGATTCCAAGCGACAGCTGAGGCCAAAGCGGAAAGACGTTGGAAGCTAAGACGCATTAGGCACGAGCTACCCTGACCAGGGCGTCTAACTCTAGATTGCTGCGGCATCGGTTGGGTGAAGCTGCATCACGATGGCCTAAACGCAAACACCTTTCTCTGACAGGAATGCCTTTCTGGCCCACATCACGGTGAGCCTTGACCTCGGCGATGGACTCAATAAAGTCACCCTCTGCGTTGCTGGCATTTTTAATCACCCCATAATACGAACGTTTGCCTGCGTAGCGCTCAGGCAGCGGAAGTAGCGAGTGGCGCACTGCGTTGGCACAATCACTGTAAGGGATCGAAGGGGACACGCGCAAACTGGGAAACACCGCAGCGAGCCGAGCATTATGCGGCCTGCGGTGTCTGCGGGAAGTGGGCCCATACAGGTCCTCGAACCTCTCCAAGACACTTCCCGCCATCCGAATTCATAGTGATACACCGAGCGGCACGAGACAGATCACGCACAACGTGGCGCTGGCAGGACACATCAAGGAAGAGGTGGCCCCACATCCTACCATTCGCGGGAGCCACGGGACTTTCGTGACCCTTAAGCTCATCAGCGTGCCAAGCGCACGGCAAGGCGTCGGCGCCCTCCACGGCAGGGCGCGGCAAGACGCCGGCGGGATGAACAGAAGCTCCACGAGTATAGAGGGCGACCACGTGGCTGTCGGCCCCAGCTGCCCAGGCTAGCGCGGAGTCCGAGATTTCCGAGGCAGGGGCCAGCTGAGCTCGCAACTAGTCCACCGCGCTGAAAGAGCACTGCCGCAAGCGGTGGGAAATGCTGCCTGGTGCCTGCCGACAAGGAGGACAACGCTCGCAAACCTGATGCCCACAAGCAAGAGCTTTGTCCGCAGTCCAGATAGCATCGCACGAGCAAGCCCTTATCCACCCTCTCTGGGCCGGGGGGAATTTGCTGCTGTTAATGGCAGCTTCGGGGGCACCAAGGCGCACCCTGCAGTCCAAGTCTCATTTTTCCCCCAAGTCCCTCTCGAAGCTCCTGTGATAGGCGCCCTTACAAAAAAAGGTCCCCATGGGGCTGGGGGGAGTCAGGCCTAAACTGGAGGTGCAACCTCGGTCGTCCGCAATCGCACTGTAATTGTCCATGACCCAGCCTCAGCGCACGAGAGTGAGCCGAAGCGCAGAAATGGGGCCACGAACAGAAGGCCAGGTGATATACGAGAGAGCAAAGACGGACTGCCAACTGCTTCTTAACTCATGGTGCTGGATCGAGAAGGGATGAACACGAGTCTGAGCCAACCATATCTCTTTGCTCCACCTCAGCAGCGGAGCGCGCGCAAAACGCCAGCATGGGTCTTCGGGCAAAATGCTGACAACAGTGCGCGAGCGCCCTCTCGAGAAAGGCCTGAAAGTAGAGAACGCTTGCCTTCGTCAGAAGCACTTGGTCGCTGACTCCAATAATGTCCGCGC